AACCTTCAGAGGAGCACAGAGGAAAGCCGCTGAGTCAGCACCTATGAAGGAAGGTGAGGCAGGCACAACCCTCCTTCCAGCCAGGATTCCATCTGCTTGCTGATGCCAGCCTGTCACATGGTTTGCCCCCTCCCCCTGGATTCCAAACTTGGAGATGCATCATCAAATACCCAGCTCAGAACCCAGCCATGGGGCCATCAGCTCCACAATCCGGGATCATTCACAGGGGGAAGAGGGAGTCAGGCCCGTATAGGGTAAATGCGACTCACAGATGTTGGAATGACAGAGAATCAAAAAGCTCAGAAAGGACCGTCAGCTGCCGTTTCAAAAATCTGGGTACCTCTACAAATCAAGAGAATTCAAATCCAGGGATGAGTGTGAAGAATTCCTGGGAGCTGAGGATTTCAAAAAGAACCTAGAATAGAATACACCATTTGCCATCTTTGGGCTGATGCTAACAGTGTTTGCTGAGTGCTCTCTGAAATAGCATAACGGACTTTTGTAACATGCTTGAAATTGACCAAGGGCTTTCACAATATCATCATGACCTGTGCTAATGATACCTGCCATTTACTGTTGTAAACAATGAGGGCTAACTAACATCCATCCAGCCCTGACTACTGGATAAAAAACTAATGGAGATTTTTTTCCTTTAATTCTGACAGCTTTATGAGGTAGGTATTTTTACTCCCCCCCCCCCTTTTTTTTAAAGGAAATTAAAGGCGGGAGAGGTTTCCAGTCACAAGGTCACACAGCCAGATGGAGACTGGAACCAGGGCAGCCTGACCCGAGACTTGACAACCTCTCCAAGCAAAAGCAGCCCCAGGAAAGTGTGCAGGACTGAACTGACCATAGCCCTAGTCTCTTCTGGCACCACCAGGGACTTAATTCTAGTCTAAGCCTTGCCACTCACTGGTTATCTGAACATTAACATGTTACTTTGTCTCTTCTCTCAATTTCCCCATGAGTAAAATGTGGCGCTGGGAGAGATGTTTATAAATTCCCACAAAATCGGTGATTCATCTTACCCTTCTATAGCTCAGAGAGATCTCTGAGCTCTCAGATCTTAATATATCCAATTTTCTGATGAAGAAACTCAACACCAGTGGGGTCAAAAGGGTTGGTTAAAGTCACATAGCTAGTTAAAGCCAAGTCTACAAGCCTGGCCTCAGACCCCAAATCTATAACTCTTACATGCCCAGAGAATGAGTTTGATGGTTCCCCAAGTTCCCAGGACCTCCAGCCAAGGCTGACGGTAGGGCGTGGCCCTCCACGTTTGGGTCAGGCACAGCTAAATGGTGTATTCTATTCTAGGTTCTTTTTGAAATCCTCAGCTCCCAGATAAGAAAGCTGAGTAGGAGCTCCATGAGGCTGGGTGGGAGCTTTGCAAGAGTCCAATAGGAGGGGATGTATGACAAGAATGGGTTGTCCCATGCTGCAGCTAGGATGTGCTTCGGTCAATAAGACCTTCAGGAAGGAGGGGTGTTCTGGGGGTGAGGGGAAGTTCTCTTCCACTCCTTTGTTTCTGAAAGGCCCTCACAGCATCTCTGCCTAATGCTGAGAGCACAAAGAACAAGTAAATGAACAGTCATGAAGTCATCGCATTCCTTCTCAGCTTCTCGGCCTGAGGGGGCCACCCAAGGGGGCTTTCACAGCAGGAAGTATGAGCTCATGGCAAACTTGTGCACTGAGACCCTTTCTTGAGCTTCGGGTGGAGAAGTGCAAGAGCCAAACTCAGAGGACAGTGCTTTGTGAGGTGCTGGGGCTTTTAAGGCATGCCTGCACCTCTCCCTGGAGGTCTCGATGATGGAGGAAGTTTCGACCAAGGGGCACTGACGAAGGTGTGGAGCCACGGCTGAATAGCCTCCCCAGCGATGAGAAGACATGCCCACCTTGCCTGCTGTGGGTACTGGCCACACTCCTGCTCCTCCCCCCTCCAGAAAGGCCTTGGTGAAGAAGCCAGCATTGATGGAACACAGCTCCTCAGTTACCAGATTACTATGCTCCAGACCTCTCAGATCTATCAAAACTTAGCAGTCCTGGGTCCCTTTCCCCATTCAAGGCGAATCTGATAAATGAACCTAAGCTTTTACTGCCGGAGAGTGGCTGTCATTGCCTTTTGGCCACCTGCACTCTAGCAGGGATATTTTAAAGATGGGCCATGGAGGAATCTCCAATCCCATGTGAAGCTGCCAGAGGAGCACTGAGGCAGAGGGACCTGTCCTGCGGCCCCGTACACCACACTTCCCCATCTGCATGCCACCAACGTCCATGATGTCCTGCCCCAAAGGCAGAAGACCACTGCTGCTTCTGCTGGAGTCCATCTTCCCCCCTTCACCCCATCTCATCCGCGCAGTCTGAGAAGGATCACTCTCACCCAGATTTTCTCATCTTGGGCACTGCTGACATTTGGGGCCAGATAATTCTCCGTTGTGGAGGGGCCGCCTTATGCACTGTAGGACATTTAGCAGCGTCCCTCCCTTCTACCCGCTAGATGCCAGTAGCATCCACCTCCCAGTTGTGACAGTCAAAACTGTCTCCAGACACTGCCAAGTGTCCCCTCCTTTGCTGGCTGAAATGGTCAAACAAATAGAATATTTAAGGGTAACTGCAGCTGATTAAAACTGATATATCATTAAACATATTTTCTTTGCATTATGGTAGTTACCCACATGTTAACAAAAGTTTAAGTAAAAGAAATGACTTAAGCAAAATCACTCCTAGCTGAGGAACAATGTTCTGGTCCCACTAAAGCTAACAGGTCCCCCAGTAGGAAAAGTCAGCAAACCATGAAATGGGTACAATTCACTACCTTAAATGCCCACCAGTGGGGTATGGTGAAGCACACTAAAAAGAATCCATCTGACAAACCATTTGAAAGACCGTTTTTTGTTTTTATTTTTTTAAAGATTTTATTTATTTGAGAGAGAGAGTGTGCTTGCAAGCAGGAGGAGGGGGAGGGACAAGCAGACTCCAAGCTGAGTGCAGAGCCGGATGCAGGGCTCGATCTCATGACCCTGAGATCACAACCTGAGCTGAAATCAAGAGTTGGATGCTTAACCAACTGAGCCACCCAGGCGCCCCTGAAAGACCATTTTTTAAATGACAAGTCTTTGTGCAAATATCCAAAATCAAAAACATCTTTGAGGGAAAAAAATATCCAGTATGAAGATGGCTGCAAAACAAGAAAGTCTGTATAACCTAAAATCACATTAAAAAGGCAGACTACAAAACCTTATACATCTATATGGAAAAGGATCAATTAAATATCTTAATGAAGCAAAATGGCAAGATTACCAGTAATTCATTTCTTTCACTTAAACTTTTAATAATATGTGGGTGATTAACATCCAACAAAAAAAATGTATGCTTTTAATTTTAGTCAGATGCAATTACCTAAAATGCTGTTTGTCTGACCATTTTAGCCAGCAGAGGAGAGGGCACCCTTATGAAACAACAAATTCACGCCCTTGGTCTTGGGTCAGGGCAAACAATCCCTTCAGAGGGGGGACTGTCTCCACCATATATCGCCTCACTCCCCAGCGGTGGGTCCAGGATAGGCCAACTGTAGATCTCTGTTGACCTGAACTTACCTCAGATTTCAGCGTGGTGGTTTGAGGGTTGCCACTTGGAGTATAATGGGTTTCCGTGTAGGCTGGAGCAAAAAGGTGCCTGCAAAGAATAAACACAGGCATTTGTCTCTTTAGGTGATGGCCTCCACCCTCCTGGAAACAGTAGCCAGTCATTCTAAACGACCCAGGAAGAACCACCCAACCATCTCCACGCAGAAGAAAATTAGCCGCCATAAGGGCCTAAGGAACAAAAAGAAAACCGGGAGGAAGTTGATTAATTTTGTATTCAATGGGTTCATCACTTCATTTGGACACAACCAAGTAAAGTAGACAAAACTAAAGCAGTGGTTGCAACTTTTTCTGGGTCCTAGGAATATACACATGCAAACACATACTCAGAATTTCCCAAGGTCTATGGACTCTATTTCATACCTACATTGATAATGTTAGCACTGCATCCACCAACTTTCAGTATCAGCATGCCAGTTTTTCTTTAAGGGAAACCCTCTTTCCTGTTCCATGTTTTGGTGAGATTGTCAATCAAGGTGTCCCACCTGGCCCTGGCCAAGGGTGGCCCATGATCCAAGCTAAGCCAATGGAGTGATGTTGCAAAAACGGAACAGATGGGAGCAATTCATCTGTTCCTTTGTTCTTGCTGCATGGATTCCTGGCATGGCATCTGCCTGCCTTTTCTGAAACCTAGTGGTTCAGATTTCCTGAGACCTGGTAGTTCTATGTGTTACCCTTAAAATAAATTCCTTTTTTCTTTTCTTTTCTAAAATTGGACATTGGTTTCTCTCTTGCCACAGACCCCTTGAGGCTGAGGCTAAGAATCCCTCACCAAAGGCAAGGCAACACCAAACAAGGTTCCTAGAATTTCTCTAAAAGTTAAAAGAAAATTAAAAGAGCCAAATGGATGTTTCAACTAGCTCAACCACATTAAAAGCAAAATGCATCTATAGAAAGTTGAGGTCCTGGTGCAAAAAGATGTTTAAGGTCCCTAAGAGAAGAAAAATTGGGAATCTAACAAAAAAAGAATTAAGTGGAAATGCATGAAAAGGGCTTAACACCAGGCCTGGCATCACAGAGTGAACTTAGTAAAGGTCAGCAATCATCATCATTGCTTTCACCAGGGATTATGATGGAAGAACCCAGAAAAAGAGATGGAATCTACCTATTTTCCCCTAACTCTCCCCAGCCATTAATGCTCCAGTTGATCACTTGAGAGAGGTGAAAAAGCAGTTAGCTCATCCCTGCAGCCCCACTTCCTGGGTCTGCTTTCACAGACAACATTATGGACAGCTAGTCATGGGTTCAGAGTTCAATGGTCTATCCCAGTGCCAGTGGGAGATCTGAATTTTCCCACAGGAAATGCACTCCTGGCAAATACATTCTTAACCTCTTTCTGAGTCTTGGGGTGGAGGGGAATCATTCATTCAGTGACATCAAGATGCTCCAAAGAGAACATTCCAGATTGAACCTCAGAGGCGGTCCACATTCTCGTCAGTCCCTGGCCATGTCTTCAAAAGGGTAAGCATCTTCCTATAGCTTTTTATTCTGAGGATCTTATCATAGGACTCTCAGAGCCTCAGGGTTAAAAGGGACTTTTGTAATCAATTAGCCAAACTCACTAGACTGTGGGCTCCCTAAGAACAAGGGCACAGGTGCTTTGTTCAAGACTCCTCCTTACCTCCCAGCACCTCCCAGGCAGGCAATATATGTTTATTCTGTGAATAAGTGGATGGATGGATGGATGGATGGATGGATGGATGGACGGATGGATGGATGAAGGAATGGATGAACCTTCTACCTTGTGTAGGAATCTGCCAGATGGCCATTCAGTATAGGACATCTCCAGTGACACAGAGCTCATGAGACCACCCACTCCATTTCGGAACACATTTAGTAGTTAGAAAAAGTTCTTACATTGAACCTCTCTGTAACTGGCACCCACTGGCCTCATTCTGTCTTTTGAATCCACATGGAACAATCTGCTTCCTTTTCTACCTAACCGCCATTTCAGGACCAGCAGCAGCACCTAGGAATTAGTTAAAAATGAGATCATTGGGCCCCACCCCAGAAGTACTGGGGCAGACAGAAATTCAACCATCCATTGTAATAACTCTCTAAGTGATTTTGATGTAGAACCACCACCCTAAATCACAAGTTAGTGAGTTACTTTTAAGGTAGGCAGCACACCTCAGAGATATCAGTGTCTCACTCCCTCCCCATCACCTTCCTGCCTCTACCATATCCTGGATCATTCTCAACTCGAAAAACCCAGAAAAGTTCCATCAAAACAGTTCACACATATTTATGTGTTAAACCATTTAACACACCTATGTACAACACACCTCTGAGTTAGGTCCTAATCCTTTCCCCATTGTGTAATTGAGGACCATGGGAACTCAGACATTTAACTTGTCCAAGTTCTCCTGGCACAATGTCAGGGCCAGGTTTCAGACCCCAGTCTGTTGGCCCTGACCATATTACTTAAGCACTCTTCTGTTCTGTTTTCTTAAAAAGTGGAAGCTTCACTTCCAGGAACCAGTAGTCCAAACCACAATTTGATAGTAATGATAGTAGCCTTGAGGACATACAGGATGTCTCAAAAATGTCATGAGCTATTAGATGTGCATATATGCAGAGAAAAATATGGGTAAGCAAAGCACTTGGCAGGAGAAAGAGGATGAATACATAAGAACTTCAGGGCGAGTTTTTTGAAACAACAACCCTTTCCCCAAATGGGGTTGCAGATGTTGTCCAGGAAGGTCCTTTTTTCCAGAAGCAAAAAGAAGGGTTGTGTTTCATCACCACCACCCGTGCAATTTTACCGTGAGACAAAACACCACTTTCAAATCCTCCCCACTGCCCAAGCCAGGCCCACCCATGCCTATGTGTCCATGTGGTATGCTGGCAGTGCTGTCGGGACTCAGAGAGGGGGCCATGGAGCAGCCCAGCTTGGCCCATCTGCCCCTTTTCAGCCACATCTTGTTCTCATCTCCTCCCTGACAAGGGGCTGGCTCAGCAGATCAGCAGGAAGCCATCTCTCACCACTGGAGTGTATTAGGATTTTCAGGAAACAAGTTGTGAGTGATGTGCCTCCAGGAAGGGAGAAGGACTGTCCAAGATTTCCCACCCCACCCCCTCCTTTTTCTGGCTTTGATGGAAAAGCAGTTTCTATGAAATGCTCCCCCGCCTCCATGCACACACCCTCCAGGCTCACAAGCCCACAAGGCAGGCAGAGACGGTATCCCAATGCTAATAGCAGGCAGCATGGAAATGCTCACTTTGGGCAAAACCAAGGTTGCTTAGACCCCAACGTCCTCCAGCAAAACCTGCATCTTCCGAATCCCACCTGGGAAAAGAAGCTGCCCCCCAAATACTAGACATAAGGTTGCTCTCCAGGGAATGACAACAGAGTTGCCTCGTGGCAGCCTGAGCCCTGGGTGTAGGTGCAGCCGGACCCCAAAAGCACACTGCAGTCTGAAACAGCCCTGACCCCTCTTCCCTAACGTTCAGCACCTTCAAAACCAGAACAATCCCTTTAAGGACTATTTGCTATCAGGCACATGTCAAACGCCTCTCTAAACTTCAATCTCTAAAACTCCCTCTGGGGGGAGAAGCAGCAGGGCTCAAAGAAACATCTTCTCTGAGCTCAACCCTCCTTCCTCTGCTTGAGATAAGCACCTGGTGAAGACAAAGTGATAACAATTTCTAAACCACCTTGAAAAACAACCTATACAGCCATGCTCAGCACAGCTCAACATTACTTAGCTCATCCCACAGTGGCTATTTTTACAGACACCTCCTTCCTCCAGAGCTTGCTCCATCTAGGTCTTTCAAGAGTATCCTGGCACTTAAACACTGGTGATGCCTGGGGAGGTACAGCCTTGCTGGCCCCTCTCATTTTCCCCGGAGGATCTTCACCCTGCCCACACATGCTGATGATAATGCAAAGCCTCTGTCATTTCTTGCTCATACTCTCAATGCCGTCGTCATGGGACTTAGCCCAGTAACTGCACAACACCCGGAAACACTGTGAAAAAATATAAAATCCCAGGCCCCATCCCAGCCCCACTGAGGATTATATTCTCTAGAGAAGGACTAAGAAATCTGTATTTTTATTTATTTTTATTTTTTAAAAATTTTTATTTATTTATTTGAAAGAGAGAGAGAGAGCGGGAGCGGGGGGGGGGGGTGGGCAGAAGGAGAAGCAGATTCCCCACTGAGCAGGGACCCTGGCTAGGACTTGATCCCAGGACCCTGTGGGATCATGACCTGAGCTGAAGGCAGACGCTTAACCGACTGAGCCACCCAGGCGCCCCAAAAATCTGTATTTTTAATGTTTTTCCAGGTGATGCATTTTCAGGCCCTGAGAATTCTCCTACTCCACTGGATCAATGTTAACATTTTAAATTCTTTTTCTCATTTCTAGGTTCTTAATCACACCCTTCTAAACCTGAAGATGATATTAGCACAGCACAGAGGGAAAGTCTAGGCTCAGAAAGCTTTGGTTTGAGTACCAGCTGCACTACTCTCTAGATGACTGTCCTTTGAAACCCTAGAAATGAGGCAAAAGATGACCACGGTTGCTTTCAATTTCATGGAGCTGGTAGGCTTGAGAGACCAGGCTAAGGGTCTTTGGACTCTGTGGGGTGGGTGGGGGTGGGGGGGGGGGGGGGGGGGGAGAAGGTGTAGCTTTGAGACATTAACTTGTAAAACGCTAATGAGTTATGATAGAGATGCAAATGATTTCTACCCAGCAGAAAAGATAACTCCAAAGGTTATGGTTTCATTTCCCCTAAAATGATATTAACCAGTTTTATATCGAACTTAGTGATCTTATCTCAACATTCATTTTTTCATTATTTAAAAAATACATGCATATGTTTTCCTTATCCAACTTTTAAACCAGTTTTATCATCTTTCTGGCTCCATGAAATGAGATAAATCAAATTTTGACAAGTGCTCACTAGTATTTTAACTGCCAGGAACTATTTCTTTTCACTTGGGCCACCTAAACCACCTCCGTGTCCTTGACCAACAACAGCAGAGTAATGATTACTATCTCACAGCATCATTTAAAAAAGGATCAAATGAGAAAGTGACATTCGAACACCAGCTCTGACACTTTCAGTTCTGGGGAGCTTGGGCAAGTCAGTTAACATCTCTGTGCCTGTTTTCTCATCTATAAAATGGGAAGAATTTTAGAATCTACTACACAGGGTTGCTGTCAAAAGCCCATGAAATTTTGTCAAGTAAAATCAACAAATGTGAAAGAACTCTTTGTAAAGCATAAAGTATTTGTGCTCTACAAATCGTTATCATTTTCTCCAGGAATAGCTAGGTGCACATGTGGCAAAATCTTGATAATTGGTAAATCCAGAAAATGGGTATCTGAGGGTTCATAATACTAGTCTCTCTCTTTATGGGTCTTAATTTTTTTTTTTTTTTAAGTAGGCTCCACGTCAAAACAGGGCTTGAATTCATGACCCTGAGATCAAGACCTGAGCTGAGATCAAGAGTCAGATGCTCAACCAACTGAGCCACCAAGGCGCCCCTGGGTATTAATATTTTTTAACTAGCTAGGGGACCTTATACCAATCACAAGCTATTTGACTTTAGTCCTCCTTTCTATCAAGCGAAAATAGTCCAGGACAGGGAGGCACTGGAAGGGTTTTTGAAAAGCCGGGAGTGCTGTTCTAATGTAGTGGCCGATGTTTGCCCATATTTGGGACAAAATAACAAACTCAGTAAGTATTGTTTTGTTTTCTTTTGTTTTCGAAGAAGGAGAAAATAAAGGGGAGAAGGGACAGCTGTTTCAAAACAAAGATTTCCAAACCAGTGCTCATTCCACCTTTGACTCCAGAGGAATGGGAAGAAACCAACATGCCAAAAGCATGGCCCTAAAGCCAAATAAGGATTGACAAGTCCAGGGGCCCAGAGACAGAGGCATTCCCTTTTGAGGGAACAGAAAGGCCAAGGAAAGAGGAACTTTAAGCATCGGTCCTAATCTAAAGAGTGGGGATCTCCTCCTATCCCAAGCACTTCCTTGAACAAGTCCCATTCCTACCTGAGGACCAGCCCCAGAAGCAACACTTTGAGGCAAGATGGCACCACCCATAATCCAGGCAAAAGGCCGAAGCTACATGGCATGTTTTCTTTAACCTTTTATTAAGGAAGTTTCCAAACAATGCATTAAATCAACACTCCTTTTCACCAACTGCTTCCCATTACATCTTCTCCCAGTCCACACAAGACCTGGCATTCTTCCAACCAGCTCCTGGTCCTATGTTTTGCTTTTATATACCAGAGGATGTTTAGACGAGTACTGTTTACTCCTTTGGCCAGCAGGGTCTTTATTTAATCCTCTTCATGCCTCCTGGCTAACTCCACAAAAATGAGTAACCTCTCTGTGCAAACAGGGCTGATTTCTTGGGATCAGGGAGCTTAACTGTCAGGAACCTGAGTAAGGGACCTCAAAATGGCTCACCCAAGAGTTTACAGATTTGTTCTGGAGTGTCCTGAAAAGCCCATTATGAGTATTTATTGGACAGTTAAAGGAAGATAAAGAAGAAGGAGAAGAAGAACAATAACAACCACCACCGCCATTAAAGGAAATGGGGTACTATATTTCTTAGAAAAATTTAAAAAATGAAAACATTGATAGCAGCCTCTCTGACAACCAAATTTTTTTAAGGATTTTATTTATTTATTTGCCAGAGAGAGAGAGTGAGCACAAGCAGGGGGAGCAGCAGACAGAGGGAGAAGCAGGCTCCCAGGGAGCCCGATGTGGAACTTGATCCCAGGACCCTGGGATCATGACCTGAGCTTAACCTACTGAGCCACCCAGGCATCCCTAACAACCAAATTTTGATAAATAACCATGTGCCTGTTTAATAGATCAACCTGAAGGAAGGGCCAAAGCAAGAGGCAACAGGCATGTTGTAGAGATATACTCTGTGAAGAAGACAAAGAGGGAAGTGAAGAAGAGGAACCTCCAAGATCACCAGGCCTCTGAGAATACGCTAGGACAGAGGGCAATAGGTGGACCAACATATGAAAAAAAGCAAACAAACAAAAAGCCGGTGGGTGAAGACCACAAACCAACCTGCTCTAAATGTGAGTGCTCGGTCCCTTTTAGAGCCTGATTAAATATCCCAGTAACTTTGATAAATCTTACCCCATGTTTCCTAGCCTCCTAATGCCCAAATCACAGCTCTGGCCCCGTGAAGAAGGTCAGATGTGGGAAAGCCCTCCTTGATCATAGTGGAGAACTACCGTTCCAGCCTCCAGCATCCCTGCCACCTTCTTGGCAGAAGGTTGCCCCAATCTGCCTTGAGACCAGTGTTCTCTGTCACTGAGTACTGCTGCAGGCGCCTGGAGTCAGTAGTGACAAGCCAGGACGATCTTATTTCACCGCATTCCACGGCAGGTGACATCTGGTGAAAATGGCTGGAGCAGAGTCACCCCAGCAGTGGCACCTGAAGAGGCTGCCTATGAATTCCTAGACCCTGTCCTTTCTGAGCCCTAGTTCTTCAGCTTTTTTTTCCAACATTCTATTTGTTGTCCCATATCGTTTCCATAAAGTGTTTGGGGGGGAGGGGAAGATCAGTATATAAATTGCAGAGTTGACTGCAACAAAAGCATCTTTATATGCCACCCTCTCTTTCCAATACTTCCCCTCAATCCACTTTTATAGAAGAATTTGAAAAAGAGCAAAAGCAACTTACCCAACATCACACAGTTACATTTTGCTTCTAAACCCATCAGTCTAAATAAACAAAAGTAAGCTAAATGTCAGTGGTAGATAATCCAAGAGTTAGGCCGTCCAGACACTCCCAGAAGGCAGAGAGGAAGGATGTTTGTGCGATCTCATCAATAATTGCTTATTAAGCAGCAGCATCAGTACAAACTGTGGGGCATATGGGCCTCAGGAAGACCAAATTGCTCCTGGCTTGAATTCATCACGTATTTGTTCTGGGTCATCGGCCAAGCTGCAGTACCTCTTCTGAGCCTCAGGCTCTGCATCTGTAAACCCATTTACTCATTCCACGAATATTGCCTGAGGTCAGTGGAGTGCCAGGCACTGTGCTAAGATGCTAGGGGATGTGAGTGAAGCAAGCATGGTTTTTCTGCCCTCCACCCAGCACCTGCATCTCCCGTCATGAAGATCAGAGGAGGCTAAAGGATGGCAGAATATGCCACCCCCAAATATGCGCCACTTTAGCCTAAGGATTCTTTTGCACCGAAGGCAACTGAGAAGAAGCAGATACAGAACAAAACAAAACAAAAACAAAAAAACAAAACAAAAAAAACCCCAAAAACAAAACCTCTCTGCCCTCCCCCTATTTGCCTAAAAGTAGGACAAAACTTTCAAAGGCTTCCCTCCTCCCCTCTCTACCAGGAAGGACAAAAGTTAACCACCGGAGACAACTTCAGGCCCCATCCGCCCGGAGAAGGCACCAGAAGAATCTACGCAACTTGTACTGACTAGCCTTTGTCTCCCATTAGTTTCCCATATGTTTACCTCTCCACAGTTTACCATCTTTGGAAGCCTAACTGCTTTCCTCTGTCCTGTCATTTCTCTACAGATGTATTGTTCTTTGGGAAAGACACTACATAAGCCTGAATTCTAACTGAGTTACTACTAATTTTTCCCTGGGTAGCTCTTACGTACACATGCTAATAAACTTCTGTTTGTTTTTCTCTTGTGAATCTGGCTTTTGTTACAGGGTTCCCAGCCAAGAACTTAGAAAGGTAGAGGGAAAATGATTTTTCCTTTCCTACAAGGTCAGCTGTGCAAGCACTTGGCAAACACGAACAGGCCACACAGAAGGTGGGTATGACCATCTGGTCCCTGGAGGCCAAGTCACTGTTAAACAGCCCATCTTCCTTCCTTCCTGGAATTGCTGCAAACCAGTTAGGTAACCAACTTCCAAGTACCCCTAACATGCTGCCAACACAGCTATGGAGGAAGGGTGCTTGGGCATCAGTGTTTATGTGTATGTGTCCATGTGCTTGAGTGTGTGTGTGCTGAGGACAGAGAGGAAGAGTGGAGTAAAGGAATAGGAACTAAGGGTCCTTACTCAACATTTCTGATTTCCTTTCCCCAGCCGTATTCCCACCACCACATAACTGAAAGGCTAGTTCACTCTTTGCACTCTTACCCAAGCCCCAAATTTAGCATCAGGAGGTCAAGAGATCAAGTGCTTCTAGACTACAAGGAGCCTGCTATCTTTCCCAACACTTAGATCACCTTTTTCCCTAGCGTTCCAGTCTCCCAACCAAAGGAATCCCTTTCCATGACTTGCCTTTCCTTTCAGGGGAGGAAGGGGGCTTGGAAAAAGGAACCATGCCTGATATAATGCTGCCATTATAGCCCCTTGGCCCATCTGGACCTCTCTCCAGGGAGACTGATGCAAGAGGAGAAAATGTGGAGGCTGCCAGTTTTCCACAAATCTGTAACCTCGGGGGAGAGAGAAGGAAAGGGGGCAGTGGGGCACATGGGAGCTATGGAAGGGACTGGAAAAGAGCCATAAGTACAGAAGTCATAAAGACCCCATTTCTCCTTAAAGTGGCTGAGGAAAGCCTGGCCCAGCTCCACCCACTCAATGATATCATTGTTTTCAACAAAAGTGGGTTTGAGAACGCCCAGAGAGGCCCCCACTGAGGCCTCAACTGCTAGAACAGGCAGAGGTCTCACCAGTTCCTGGGAGATTAAGTGCTTAGAATTGCAGATAAGGAGGGAAAACTATGTGAAAGCCCAAATTACATAAATAACCAGGGTAAGGACAGATGTTGCTTCTGCCTGGCCTTCTAGGGTCATAGAAAGAGAACAGGACACTACTTTACACATAGTTTTTATGCGTGGATCCCTACCATGATCCTGCAAAGTTGGTGACTGAGGATTATATCTACATCTAATGAGAAAACTAAAGATCTGAAAAAAGAAGTGGCTTGTCTGAGGTCCTAGCACAAGCTAAGGACAAACCCAGAGACTGGCAGCCCTGTTCTGCTACCTACTCACGCAGGAAACTCAGATTGGCCCTTGAATCCATCCCCCCCCCCTTCAGCCCACAGTCAACCCACCTCCCAGTCTCCATGATTCTACCCTGTAAACACCTCTGTAAGGCATCCCCTTCTCTCCATATCAGCTACCTCTTCCCTAAATTCGATCACCATAATTTCTCTCTCAGATCATAATAAAACTTTTGAATGGGTCTTCATTAGGTTAGCTCCTTCCAATCCATCCTATGCTTCGGGTGAAGTAATCCTTCTCAAATGCATTTTGGATGCTATTCTATCTGACCTTCAAAATATTCTTCAGTTCCCAACTGCCCTCAAGATAAACAGCTAACCCATTTAAGGAGCCTTTGAGGCCCTTCAAGGATTCACCCCTGTCTACCTGGCCAACCTCTTCTCTCACCATTTCCTCCAGCCCCGCCCCCCCAACCACAAAGAACCTCTTTACATCTCCACATGTTACTCTTGCCCTTGGGGCTTTGTTTCTGCTACTTGTCCAGCTTGAATATGCTAACTCTATCACCCTCCTCCCCCCACCCACCTACTTCTTCCTTACTTCACTTCCTGGGGAGTGAAGCTGTCCCTTCTCCCCAGTCCAGGGTAGGTTCCCCTTCACCAGGGCCCACAGTGCCCTCTACTTCCTCCACTATAGCCCTACCACGTTCTGTAATAGTTTAATTCCCTATCTCCTCCACTAAGCTCTAAGCCCCATGACAGCAGAGACTGTGTTTTGCTTGCCACTGCTTTCCTGGGAACACCCACGACCTAGCTTAACACCTGCCACATGGCTGGCACTCAACAGTATTTGTTAAATGAAGGAAGAGAGGGAAGGAAAGACAAGAAGTTAAGAGTTCCCAAGGAGGAGTCCAGAGCTCAAGCCCAGTAGAATAGAGACTCTCATCAGAAAAGCCAATGATTTGGGGTGCCTGGTTGGCTCAGTCGGTAGAGCATATGATTCTTGATCTCAGGATCATGAGTTCAAGCTCCATGTTGGGTATAGAGCCTACTTTAAAAAATAAATAAATAAAGAGCCAGGGATTCTCTGACCCAATGTCTGCCCCCAACTGAGCTTAAGCAAGACCTACAACTTGCCCCAGGGTGCCTGCCCAAGGGCCTATTTATTTAGTATTCAAGGTATCAGCTAAAGGTCTGTGTATGGCACTAAGTTCTACACAGAGAAAGAACAAGCTCATTTTCTTAAAATCAAAATATTTCCTGGGTGAAGTGTAAATGCAGTTTCATTCTCAGGACAGAACCAGTCCAGAAGCTCCAGTATTGACCTCCTCTTCTAGATTTTTCTTGGGATCCTCACGTTCCGTTGCCCAAGCACAAAGTTTGGGGAGTGGAAATATCCTCCAACTTCTAGGGAGTCTAGGTGAAGAGCCTAGACTCATCCCGGAAGCTAGGGAGAAAACAGAGGTCTTGAAGGTGGGATTTCCACACTTCTCCCAAGTCCAAAAGTATATCCATATATCCATCTGCATCCCACCTACCAAGCTACCAAAACTTCTCAAGAGGCTTTTTCCCCCAACCCTAAGTTGTGAAGAAGCTGCTTCTGTCTTATGCTCAGCCCCCTGCAGTCCATGGCTCCATGGCTCCATCCACTAGGTATACCTGTATCTACTGGACTCAACCTGAATTTCCTTCAGTGGGGAGGCCTGAGGGAAGAGCTTCTTCTCATCTCATGTGTAAAAAAATACAGCCTAGCTTTAGAGTATACCTCAAGCATCTTTCCTAGCAGTACCCCACCTACCTCCCAGATCACATGGTTTTACCTGAGGGAAGAGAGCCCAACTCAAGTAAAAAATCAGAGACTAAAAAACTGAGCTTCAAGGCACTGAAATCTTTGGGTAGCAAGCTGTGGAAGGAAAATAAAGCTCTTCCCTATTCCCTACATAACACCCTTCTGAATGAAAATGATTTGGCTAGTTGGAATACTGAACTCCTAAGAAATTATTAGCAGTACAGTATGGTTCCCCTTGATCCAGACCAAATATGTATATATTAATTTCTCAGTGTGAATTCCTTTCTCATTCTTCCTTTCACCTCTCCTCCCTCCCTCATCCAAAGCTTCTCTTCCTTTGGATGAACCTAGAAGGTAAAATGCTAAGTGAAATAAGTCAAACAGAGAAAGACAAATATCATGTGACTTCATTTAATGTGGAATGTAAAAGCCAAAACAAATGAAAAACAGAAACAGGCTCGTAGACACAGGAAACAAACTGTTGGTTATTGGAGGGGCGCGCGCTTGAAATAGGTGAAGGGGATGAAGAGGTACAAACTTCCAGCTATAAAATAAACAAGTCATGGGGATGTCATGCACAGCATAGGGAATATAGTCAACGATACTGTAATAACTTTGCATGGTGACAGATGGTCACTACACTTATCATGGGGATCATTTCATAATGTATAAAAATATCAAATCATATGCCCCTGAAACTAAGAGGATACTGTATGTCAATTATACTTCAATAAAAAAGACAAAAAACAGCCTCCCCTCCTTGCTCCTGCAAGACAGAACTCCAAGTAACTGTCCTTAGGGAAGCTTTCTCTATCCCCAGTCAGAAAGTCTCTATTCCCACCTGCCTCCTCAGCCTTGTACTTTCAACTCTATTATTAAATTTGTAATCTGCCTTGAATCATGCTGCTTGTATGTCTTCTCTCCCGCAGAGAGCAAACTGCCAGAGGGCATGGATCTACTCCCTACAGCACATAGTGTAGGAGTTTATACGTATGTGCTCAAGCAACATTTGCTGAAATCAACCTCGTGGAATGGAGCCAAGTAAGCTGGCTTAGAAGACAGGAGATCCATCAACTAATGAATGAATAAACAAAATGTGGTATATCTATACAATGGAATGATATATAACAACAAGGAGTGAAGTACTTATAAATGCTATTCAACATGGATACAACTCACAAACATTACCTTAAGTGAAAAAGACACACAACCCACACACACACACACAAATGCTGTATAATCTTTTATATGAAATATCCAAAATCGCCAAATCAAGACAGAAAGTAGATTAGTGGTTGCCTATTGCTGATGGGGGTGTGGGAGAATGAGGAATGCCTGCTCATATTAGTTTGTAAGGAC